TATTTATTTGACAGAGAGAGACACACCAAGAGAGGGAACACAAGCAGGGGGAGTGGGAGAGGGAGAAGCAGGCTTCCCGCGGAGCAGGGAGCCCAATGCCAGGCTGGATCCCAGGACCCTGAGATCATGACCTGAGCTGAAGGCAGATGCTTAACCGACTGAGCCACCCAGGCGCCCCTAGCCCCTTCTCTTTTAACTGAAGCAAATTTCCATGAAATTTAGAAGGGCATGAAATTCATTTTCTAATAGAAAGTTCCAAGAGACTTACCCTATCTCAGGTGTGAAATCTAAGGGGGTTCTAGTAGGACAGGATCCATTCCATTGAAGATCATGTGAAGTTATTTGCTCAGGTGGTCATGTGACCTGAAGAAAATGAGGGAATCTCCCTGGACCTAAGACTCAGAATGTTGCCTACATGTGCAAGAAAGGAGGGAATTCACATGTTTCCTTCATCCTGGAGAAGATGTTTACTTGTACTTTAGGAAGGAAGGACACAAAGAATTAAAGACCTCCCTGGGTTCATTTTCCAGTTATCCTGATCGGTTTATTAAAAAGTGGAGACAAATCCACAGTCTCAGGGCCAAAAGAAGGGGGAATTTGATTCAGAGAGTAACTGAGATAGCACAGATTTGGGCCTCATCAGAGAAGGTGAGGTGCTCCCACACTGGTGGCAGATGGGACAAAGGAATGTCAGGACACACTTGCTTCTGACAGTGTGTAGAGCATGTGAGAAACAAAAGCTATCTTTCCCAGGGTTGTGATCACATGTGATCACAGAGGTGGTGCAATGCACTTTTCTAGAACCATAGCCTCTTCCAGTGGAGGCAGTGGTCCTATGGTTTACATGTAAATCAAGGCCCCTCAGAATCTGACCCATTTGCAGTCTCCTGACCCTTGTTCACGACAACATCCTTTCTGTCCTATGAGAGGCTCCCAGCCGTCCCACCAACACAATGCATCTTTCCTACACCTGTTCCTTTGCGCAAGCTGCCCCACCAGGGTGAACTAATGACACACTTTCTGACACTCCAGATTTTGATTTCTTCTATGCACGTAGTTCTTATGTCATTGATACCCACACCCAGTAGGGTGACAAGGATCCCGCATGGCCCAGCCCCTACAGGAGAAGGGTAGGGAGGAGGGCACCTTTCCAGCCAGCATTTTCCTGGTGGCCCTGCCCCAGTCTGAAGTGGTTGAAGGGATTGTTCTAACTCTTTTGAGGGGCCACCATCACTGTTCCTTGTCCTGCTGCTGAGTTCCTTGCCCATCCTCCTAGTCCCCCACGGTTTGGCGGTTGTTGCTCTTGAAGAAGGGCCTTACAGGATTTCCACTGATGCCTGGTGATTTTGGGGTGAGCTCATGGAAACAGACATTTTTCTCTGGATTTTGTGCTGCCATGTAGAGGGATGATTCTATGATTGGTATTTTAATAAATCTTATCTTTAGGAAGGGAAGCTTGAGGGAGGTTGGTGTCATAATTGTGAAGGAGCAACAATCACTTGTGTTGGTTGGGAGAGAGGACAGTTGGTATTTTGTGGTTTAGACGATGTTCCAATTGGTCTCTTCTGCAGAAGAACACCAAGACATAATTGTGGGTATCAGGCCCGGTCCTGGCCATCGGGTGCAGCTTTGCTCTTTCTCATACATTTCATTGAGAAGTGGGGGCTGGAGGTGAGCTGGAGAATTGCAGCCCATCTGCTGGATCCATTGTGGTGTCTGCTCTCAAATATGGGTCTGGAGTAAGGATGGAAGGAAAAGAAAAGCATTGTCAGAAAATAATGGAGCCACAGGGAGTCCAGCTGGGGGAGCAGGGAAACCTGGGCCGGTGGCATCCA